AAAAAATCTTTTCAACCATGTTGAAATGCTCTGGTTCAAAGATCGAGTGCTTTTCAAACCTGAACTTTGGCCTCCTGACACAGTCTGACAGCAGGCTGGAGTCGTTCCTGCCAGCGAGGCGCAGGCTGGTGATCGTCTGTTTTCTAACAGAAACTTCGAGTTTTTTTGCGTTCAGAATATTTGGACTCAATATATTTTGTAGGCATGTTCTGTTCGGAGCACGAATAAAATCAACAAATGGTCATTTTTAACATACATAAACAACTTTTAAAGAGAAATATAATCAAGGGATAATTTAGAAGAGAGAGCATACCAGCAGGGAGCAAAGTGGCAACGCAGAAGCCTGCTGGGCCCATACCCCAGAGATTGATGAATCAAAACTATCCTCTGTTACTTGTTGCTCAAAAAAAAAAAAAAAGCTGGAGGCTTTAGAACGTAATCCTAAACAATGTGTCTGTACCTGAGAAAATCTTATCCTGGACAAGTAAGTGGAAGAGAAATGTTCTCAGCCTAGTAGATTTTTGAGACCACACACAAAAAAAGAACAAGCCAAACCAACCAAACAAAAAAAACCCACAAGGTTCTAATTCAGAAATTTCATATGTACCCTCTAGAGAGCAGAGAATATTAACATGTCCATCTCTACTTACCATATTGCCAATGAGTAAGTTTAGAGTTTGAAAGGACTGTATTTAGCTATTTTCAGTTTTAGAAATTCAGTTAAAGGGAGTTGGGAGTATTTAAAATAATAATTCCTCCAACAAAAACATCTGCTGTTTTCCTTCTTAGCACTTATCACCATGTAGTATGTAGTATATTTGATTTATTCATTTAGTATTTTCTCCCCTGTGGAATGCAAATTCACAAGAACAAAGGTTTTTGTCTGTTTCCCCACCGTGGTTGTAGTATCTATAACACGGCCTGGCACATCTTAGTCACTGGTGATTTGGTAAACACTGTATGTTAAAAAGCCGCAATTTCTAACACACCAAACACCAGTATTCAACACTAGTCTTCACCTTTTTCTTTTACTTTTTAAAAAAATCACAGAAGAGAACAAAAAATGACAACACAGAATTGATTTACTATTTAACATCAGAACATATTGACTATAAATCTCCTTTAAAGACAAAAACACACATAAAATTAAAGTATTCAACTGTATCACCAATCCTAATATCCCTTTGTCAGGGAATTTGATGTACATCTCTCCTATTCCTATTCCTTTTTTTTCTTTTTAATGAATAATTTTTCTTTGCAAAAAGTCTGGGAACAGCTCATATTAGGTTGTCATTTAAATATCACAATGCTTGTTTTTAAAAGCATCCACTTTATGAATATCCACACAAAAAGCTTTCCATTATAATGCTGTTGATATTACATGTATTTCTCTGTGTTAATGTCCAAACATACAAGCATAGCCACTTTTATGGAATGGGCAGCTGAAGGGCTAGATTTTATTTTTAGTTGGTTCCAAAATGAAGCCAACATCTTTTTTCCACCTGGCAATAGAGGCTTTAGAAATCCTACCATTAAAATTCTTTTATTGACTTTAAAATCTTTTTACCCACATAACATACTTGCCTCAGTAAAAAAACCACAATATTCAGTTAAGGTGCTAGGTGAGGTCCTGTTCCACTTTCACTCTTTCCTACATATATGTCCCTTGCAAATTTCTATCTAAGAGGAATTTTAAAACTCAGTTCTAAGTAACAAACTTTCTGATCTCAGATCAACAGAGGCACATGTGATTAATCTAAAAGAAAAATATTGCCAAGATAAAACATTATTCGCTATTTTCTCCTGGGTCCTATTTAAGACATGAAGTTTCAGTTTGTTCTGGGAGATTGTCACCATAGATTCAGTCTCTCCTCAAAGGGGTAAACTCAGTTTACCTCCTAATCTACAAGGCACTCATGCTGTTCTCTATATGAAATTTCTCATTAGAAATAGAGGACAGATGCAGAGCGCAGGGATTCCCACACATATTGCAGCAGTCCCAATTTTATCCGCCACAGAGTATCTAGGAAAAGCACACCAGGTAATTCTATCAAATTGGAGTCCAGGGCGGGCTTTTTAAATAGTTCCGCCGCCCGCCGCACGATTGGAAACCCGGGCGTTACTTGTGTAAGCAAAAGCGATATTTTCTGTTGTGGCAGAAGGCCAAAGGGAAAGCCTCTTTCAAATGGCCTTAAAGAGCCCATACTAAATTGGCATACGCTGCACCTAATGCTTATCCAAAACTGCGTGCGGAAGTCTTTCTTAACATTGAGTCCTTTTTCTAGTTATCTTCCTCTCCCAAACCAACCCCCAACCCTCCAAAGAAAAATTAAATACAGAAAAAGTGAGCCAGCTGTTTCTGTGAAAATGTGGGTGGCTCTGAAAAGAGCCTTTGGGTTTAACAGTGGCTGAAGCACATTACTTGGAGCTGGTGTACTTGGTGACGGCCTTGGTGCCCTCGGACACGGCGTGCTTGGCCAGCTCCCCGGGCAGCAGCAGGCGCACGGCCGTCTGGATCTCCCGGGACGTGATGGTCGAGCGCTTGTTGTAATGCGCCAGGCGCGACGCCTCGCCCGCGATGCGCTCGAAGATGTCGTTGACGAACGAGTTCATGATGCCCATGGCCTTGGACGAGATGCCGGTGTCGGGGTGCACCTGCTTCAGCACCTTGTACACGTACACCGAGTAGCTCTCCTTGCGGCTGCGCTTGCGCTTCTTGCCGTCCTTCTTCTGCGCCTTGGTCACCGCCTTCTTGGAGCCCTTCTTCGGGGCGGGCGCGGACTTGGCGGGCTCGGGCATGGTCGGGAGGAACAGCCGGAGGTTCAGCTAGAACAGGAGGAACGAGCGCGCGACCGTGAGTGCTCTCTCGGTTCACAGACTCTCAAAGGAGGCGGTGAGTAAAGTCGTGTCTGACTGGTGGTGACTCCTGGAAACGTCACATGAGTATTGTCCAGTCAAAATAAGTGTATTTCAGAGCCAGAATCCCACTGGTTCAAGTGAAAGGGCTGTAACTTTTCGCCAATGGCACAGATTCACTTTCGCGCCCAGGAACGACTATAAAGAGGGTAGCTCAGGGTGACTTAACTCAGACCCAAGTCACAGCGAAGGTTTCCTATCCGTCATGTCCGGACGCGGAAAGCAGGGCGGGAAGGCGCGCGCCAAGGCCAAGACGCGCTCCTCGCGGGCCGGGCTGCAGTTCCCCGTGGGCCGCGTGCACCGCCTGCTCCGCAAGGGCAACTACGCTGAGCGGGTGGGGGCCGGCGCGCCCGTGTACCTGGCGGCGGTGCTGGAGTACCTGACGGCCGAGATCCTGGAGCTGGCGGGCAACGCGGCCCGCGACAACAAGAAGACGCGCATCATCCCGCGCCACCTGCAGCTGGCCATCCGCAACGACGAGGAGCTCAACAAGCTGCTGGGCAAAGTCACCATCGCGCAGGGCGGCGTGCTGCCCAACATCCAGGCCGTGCTGCTGCCCAAGAAGACCGAGAGCCACCACAAGGCCAAGGGCAAATGAGCTGGAACGTTAGAGTCTTTCTCAAGCTCAACCAAAGGCTCTTTTCAGAGCCACCTACGTTTTCTATAATAAGAGCTTGCATTTTCTGTGTTGTAGCAGCTACTTCAAAATGAAAAAGTAGAAACAAACTCCGAACAGACTGACAGCTGTCTGGAGTGGTTACAGGGCTGGGTGAAAAAGTTGAAAGGATTAAGCAAAAAAGCCCCAAACTCGGACACAAAACAGTATGGTGATTGTCAGAGGCAAAAAGGATGGGGGAAGGTAGAAGAGATGGTGACTTGACTTGGGGTGGTGAACACATACAATATTATGTTTTATAGGGTTGCACACCTGAGACAACCCTATTAACAATGTTACCCCAATAAATTAAAAATATATATATTTACCGTAATCCCTCAGTCTACCAGTAGATGTCCGTGTAAACGCGCCTAGTAACGCGAAAGTAACCGACGAAAACAAAAGTTACCGCGGAGTAAAGCGGATACAAAAATACTCACCACCAGGTAGCTAAGGGGTTGAGTGCCGCAGGCCCTCAAGGCTGAACCAAGAGAAAAACTTAATGGGAAGAACAAGGTGAACATTTAAATGCAAAGCTAGTTAGTGACCGGACAGGGCAATAAGCCCTCCAGTCTCTTCTTGTTCGACAGTTGTTTGCATCTTAGTAGGACACTTGCGACTCGTCCACCTCCAACTCTGCTGGGCCTTAGTCGAATGTTAATAGGAAAACAATACGGTGTGCCCTGGAGTCCTGTCCTTTAGGCAGAGCACAGGGTCCAGCGTGACTTTAAAAAGGCACACAGCAATCTTTGTACCACTCACACATTTGAGGATATTTTCCCTTAACCCCATTTTACACAAATCTCAGTATTGTAAAACGTAGTAAAATGCTTATGTGAGAATGCTTTGTAAAAAGTAAATGTTAATGTAGCTAAAATATCAAATGTGAAACTGAATTAAACAGACATTTAGAAAAAGCCTATAAAAACATTTTTAGATCTCTTAAGTTTACATAGAGAAATTAAGGAAGACGTGAATTTAGTCTTCCTAAATGAATGAGGCTGAAAAACCACTTGGCCAATCCCATGTAGCGCGCGAGTTTTCAAAAAGATCAAAGGGAAACCAGTTTCAGGGGCCAAAATTTAAAATTTTTATTCAGCAAATAAGATACTACCATTGTAATATTTACATTAAATCCTGCGGAGAAAAGCCAAGGAACATTGTGAAGAAAAGGCGTAAAGACGGTAGGAGGCTAAAAGGGGTAGAAAACAGCCGCTGTTGAAAGGGTGGGTGGGAGAAAAAGGTAATTTCCGGTCTAAAAGCCGGAAGACTGCTGAGATCAGAAAGTGGACCCAGCTTCCAATAACTTCACCGCGAGCCTTGATAGGCAGATGCCTGGTTCAATCAGAATGGGACTCCCCGTATAACTAGATATGTGTATATATATATATATGTGTGTGTGTCTCCCGGTTGAGGGCACAAGCTGTATTCTTCCACCAGCTCACAACTTCGGAGTGTTCAGGATGGCTCGGACCAAGCAGACGGCTCGCAAGTCCACGGGCGGGAAGGCGCCGCGCAAGCAGCTGGCCACCAAAGCCGCCCGCAAGAGCGCGCCGGCCACCGGCGGCGTGAAGAAGCCGCACCGCTACCGGCCCGGCACGGTGGCCCTGCGCGAGATCCGCCGCTACCAGAAGTCCACCGAGCTGCTGATCCGCAAGCTGCCCTTCCAGCGCCTGGTGCGCGAGATCGCGCAGGACTTCAAGACCGACCTGCGCTTCCAGAGCTCGGCCGTCATGGCTCTGCAGGAGGCGTGCGAGGCCTACCTGGTGGGGCTGTTCGAGGACACCAACCTGTGCGCCATCCACGCCAAGCGCGTCACCATCATGCCCAAGGACATCCAGCTCGCGCGCCGCATTCGCGGGGAGAGGGCGTGAGCTTATTAGCGAGTTGTATTCTTGCATCCAAAGGCTCTTTTCAGAGCCACTTTCATCTTCACTGGCAGTGGCTGTTACACTACTGGGTTGGGTGTTAAAAACGCAAGCTTGGTGCACAATTGTCGAAAACATGGAAGGGATACTGGGGGGTCCCTCCCAAATTTATAGATATCTAATTTTCAAGCCAAGTAGATGTAAAAATTGGCTTCAAAAGCAGTGTTTCCTTTATAGCAGCCATTTGGGAAACTTACTTAGGTTTCTCAACAGCAGTTTAAAAGCCAACAATGTCTCTGCGGAGATCAAGTCACCACTGAGACCCTTGAGTAATCCACATGTAAACAAAGGGGAATTTACCCAGGAAAGGAACTCTGCCCACCCGGTGACATAGGGTTCGGAGCATAGATACAGGCACCTCCGTTCCCTGCTTCCAATATTCACAACCTGGCAGAAGAGCTTTGCTTCACTTTGTTTTCTGTCTCCACCGCACAGGGAAAGGCACCTTGCACATTCTTATTGTCCCATGAAGAGCTGACTGATTTGAATTCTCCAGGTCCCTAAAAAGAGCACATCTAGGTTAAGTTGGGCTATTTGTATTTTGCCTAGCATCTAGCATTAGTGTGCAGACCTCAGCTTTTTTTTCTGAAACTCAATTTTTCTTTTACAGTTCCGTAAAACAAACTAAAACATAAATTTGGCTGAAATTAGCTCTGTCGAGAAAATGGGCTAGTGTTCAGGTAGATCTTTTCTGTTTTTATGAGAATTGCGTTTCTCGGTTGTTCAGCTGTACCACTTGGTAACTCTATATGATAAAGCTCTAAAATGTTTTCTTCACACCCATTCCAAGATTTGATATAAAATTAGCAAATTCACCCTCTGGCTTTTCTTAGCTTCCAGGAGCCTGGTAGTGCAGACATGTATGAGCCCTGAAGACCTGGTTGCTGAGTCCTGGAAGCCAATCTGCTGACATCCTGGTGACCACCCTGATCATTTGGGGCAGTGATACCTCCCAGCCCACCTGAGACCATTAGTCAGGAAGGGCTCGCGACAGAGATGGTCTGTTTATACTAACCAATAGTCTTGCTTGGAAGGGCACCGTCTTCTGGAGATGTGCAGTCAATATAATTCTCCAAATTAATCTTTCCGTTCTCATTATATGAAGATTTTATTCAGGGGCAGCAAGTAGTTCTAGTTATGTGGACATTTCTAATTAAATGGACAGTGATACTCCATGTCTCTCAAAACACTCCATGTGCTGAACAATGGTCTGGCAGCCTCACACCTAAGCTCCTGGACTTTAAACACACTTTCATCAAGCCACACAAGGACTTTTGCTCTATGAAAGGCACACAGAATTAAACATTCAGCTACACCAGGCCATTTGGCTCATGCTAAATGGGCAGATGGTGTTCCAAGTACTAAGATAAGAGGTCATGGAAGAAGTGAAAATTATTAGTCTGGCATATTCAAACTGAGTTTCCTGGAGAGCCATGAGAATTTCAGAAAATAGTAGATGAATATGCATGTCTGAACTCAGGAGATAAGTCTGGATGGACATAAAGACTTGGGAGTCATTGTGCTTGCATCAGCAGCACACACACTAAGATTGGAAGGATACAGTGATCAGCATGGCCCCTGGGCAAGGATGACATGCAAACTCATAGTGTCCCACATTTTTTTAGAGCATTATGTTAAGAGAAATAAACCAGTCAGAGAAAGCCAAGTACTATATGATTTCACTTATAAGTGGAATTTAATGTACAAAATAAATTAACAAACAAAATGGAAACAGACTCATAGATCGAGAACAGACTGACAGTCATCAGAGGGGCAGGGGGTTGTGGGGGGGGCTGGGTGAAAAAGGTGAAGGGATTAAAATAAAAAGATTTGTGAGTCATTAGTATATAAAAGTATTTAAAGCAAAGGAGTGGCCTACAGATCCCTTCTGGCTCCTTCCTACTTCTTTTTAACCTCTGTCTTAGATCCAGTATCCAACTTCTTATCATTCCCATTCACACATCACAAGCCCTGGGTCTGGTGATGGTCATTTTGTGCTGGAATTCCTATACTTTCCTCCAATTCCCAATTCCCTTTTTTCCTCAGCCCAGAGGATACCTCTCACAGATCTGAGTCCTCCTGTATGCTCGCCTAATATCCTGTGTCTACTTTTCTTGCTAAATTGTGCTTTATTTGCTTTTGTGTTAATCTCCATTACACTTTCTTAAGAATAGGCAGTGTCTCACTAATGTATTCTTAACACATGATACCTAAGGGTAAGTAAATATTTGTTGAAAGCATAAGTGCATTATAATTTAATAAAAGAGGAAACAAAGCAGAAAATAAAAATAAAAGAAGTAGTCTCCTGCATTTCTTGAAATGGCAAACTTGTAAGTGGCCTAATTGTTCCAATCCTTTCCAAGGCCTAGAATAAAGGAGCTTGCTATGCTCGTATAGAAATGAGAAACATGTCAGAATCATTGACCTCTCTATGCTCAAAATAGTCTCAGACTTTCAGAGAGAAGTTTGTTGATATTTTTTCAAACTGTAGGTCTCCACCATCACTTCTCTTGGAATCCACTTATTAGCATCTAGTAGTCATTGTTATGAAACATGGTCATCTAGCATGGCATGTGGTAATAAATGTGCTAAGTAGTAATGTGAATTACTCAAGTGCTTTTAGTAAACACATTCAAGACAATTATTTGTTAAAGGTTCAGTATTTGCTATCTTCCTGCCGACATACTGTGTGTCCGTGGAAACCATTTCCATATGACCCCTCAAGAGATGGTTGAATTTAATGAAAGCTGCCACTTACGCTACAGCTAATTTCCAGTAGGAACAAGGGTGACATTAAATAAACTTCGTGATCTTCTAGATTCACTGTGACCTTTTAAATTATAGCCTGTTTAGAGCAAGTAAATCCATTTATCCTTTTCCAAAGGTTCCTGCATGTCAATTCTGAAACGTAGACAAGGGGAAACAGATAAGACTCAAACCTCACTTAGAAGTCTAAGTACTGTGTCGTGTCACAAATTATACTTAGCAAAGCAGAGGTAAAGGTGATTAAAGAGGAAATGAAGTCGTGCTACCTTTTCAGTGACTAGAGGAGTGGCTCTGAAAAGAGCCTTTGTTTACTTGATTTTCAAACTTGGACCTTACTTGGCCTTGTGGTGGCTCTCGGTCTTCTTGGGCAGCAGCACGGCCTGGATGTTGGGCAGCACGCCGCCCTGCGCGATGGTGACTTTGCCCAGCAGCTTGTTGAGCTCCTCGTCGTTGCGGATGGCCAGCTGCAGGTGGCGCGGGATGATGCGCGTCTTCTTGTTGTCGCGGGCCGCGTTGCCCGCCAGCTCCAGGATCTCGGCCGTCAGGTACTCCAGCACCGCCGCCAGGTACACGGGCGCGCCGGCCCCCACCCGCTCGGCGTAGTTGCCCTTGCGGAGCAGGCGGTGCACGCGGCCCACGGGGAACTGCAGCCCGGCCCGCGAGGAGCGCGTCTTGGCCTTGGCGCGCGCCTTCCCGCCCTGCTTTCCGCGTCCGGACATGACGGATAGGAAACCTTCGCTGTGACTTGGGTCTGAGTTAAGTCACCCTGAGCTACCCTCTTTATAGTCGTTCCTGGGCGCGAAAGTGAATCTGTGCCATTGGCGAAAAGTTACCTTTCACTTGAACCAGTGGGATTCTGGCTCTGAAATACACTTATTTTGACTGGACAATACTCATGTGACGTTTCCAGGAGTCACCACCAGTCAGACACGACTTTACTCACCGCCTCCTTTGAGAGTCTGTGAACCGAGAGAGCACTCACGGTCGCGCGCTCGTTCCTCCTGTTCTAGCTGAACCTCCGGCTGTTCCTCCCGACCATGCCCGAGCCCGCCAAGTCCGCGCCCGCCCCGAAGAAGGGCTCCAAGAAGGCGGTGACCAAGGCGCAGAAGAAGGACGGCAAGAAGCGCAAGCGCAGCCGCAAGGAGAGCTACTCGGTGTACGTGTACAAGGTGCTGAAGCAGGTGCACCCCGACACCGGCATCTCGTCCAAGGCCATGGGCATCATGAACTCGTTCGTCAACGACATCTTCGAGCGCATCGCGGGCGAGGCGTCGCGCCTGGCGCATTACAACAAGCGCTCGACCATCACGTCCCGGGAGATCCAGACGGCCGTGCGCCTGCTGCTGCCCGGGGAGCTGGCCAAGCACGCCGTGTCCGAGGGCACCAAGGCCGTCACCAAGTACACCAGCGCCAAGTGAGTCTGCCGTAGAGTGAACATCTTTCTGTCACACCCAAAGGCTCTTTTCAGAGCCGTCCAGGTTTCCTGGAGAGAACTGGCACTCCCTGTATCCTGATTCAGAGGTAGGCAAAGGCAATTGTCGATCTGAAGCCTTTGCAAAATGCCTCTTAATTTGTAAAAAGTCCTATTTGGCATTGTTTGTTTAAAAATAGACTGCTAACCACTTTTTAAGTAAATATTACAAACATCAAACAGAAGGTTAATTTTTTAAAAATTGTGCTGATCCCACTTAACAAAAGTCGTACTTGACTAGAAAATTTCAGGTGCTCTTTAAGGAGAAAAGATTTAACAACTTCTAGTGAGGATAATACTGGCTGAAAGCTAACTTCTTTTACAGGTTGCAAAGCCCTTTTCGCCTTCCGCCCTTCCCCATGCTGTATGAATACCACACAAATTGATTTTAAGGAAACTCCCCAGATCACCCTCCCCCACCCCCACCCCCTTTTTTTGTAACATCAGTGGTTCTAAATGCCTTATGGCAACCTCTCACTCTAGGGCTACATTTGCACAAAATAACCTAGTGGTGATGGGACAAATGTAGAGAAAGAGAAAGTTAGAAATGAAACAAATCATCTCTGCACCAGTCAGGATTGAGCATCGCTTACCAGACGCTTCTGCAGTTTGAGTCTCTCCAGGTGCTGTCTGTACACGTGTCCCGCGAAGAGCAAGGTCTCTGCAATCCCCTTTCCCACCTCTTTCCCGGAGAAGTTACACCGAGATGCAACTCACCGAGATGCGATTTGATCCTGCTTCATGTTCTCCACTCACGTTTTAATGTTTCCCCCTCCTTAAAGGGCTACGTACCTGTTCACTGCAATTTTAACATTGTCTGAAGTTTTCTTGGGGGGGAAGGTTAGAATGTAGGTCAGCTCCATATTTCCTCTCACTTTGAACCCCCCCTCCCCCCCCACCACCCTTTTCTAATATGGGAGAAATTCTAAGTGAAAAGGGAATCTTTTTGAAGCATGAAGGGGAGTGGTAGGAAGGCATTTTCTTCCAGAGAGAATCAAAGTCACCCAGTGTATGGGCAGGAATTTTAGAATTGCCTCAGCTCTTCCAGGAATCCATGTGGAATACAAGTCCCTAGCTTTCTAGACCATCAGCTAAGAGTTTAAATCCCAGCATCTTTACTGTTTTTCTAACTATTCCTCAGTATTTTTCTGTTAAAAAAACAGGAGATCTTGTGGGAATAAAAAGCACAAAATTTGGGCAAAATTTATGAGCTCAGGGAGCAAAGAACAGAGTTTAGAAGCCACTTTTGCAGACAAGAGCAGTGACTGTTTCCTGAAGCCTGGAGAAGGTGCCTGGGAACACAAGTGGGATATTTATGGGGCCAGTATTAGTCCCTTTCTTTACTGCATTAATCAACACTGCACAAAAACTTAGTACTGTTATGATGTAGCACAAAGGTACAACCATTTCCTAAAACGCACCTTATGGCTGTTCTACATTATCCATACAACCAAATAATGAAATGGCAGTTCTCTCACTTGATCAGTTATGGTGCTAGTTTCTCTACTCTTGTAACCAGTGATTCTTAGCTTTAATTGTGCATCAGAGTTATGGGTGGAATTTGGGCCAGGGGGTCCCTACCTACCCCAACCCCAGAGATTCTGATTGAATTGATCAGAGGAGGGCCCAGCATCAGAGATATTTGAACTTTTCCGGGTGGTTCTGATGGCTAGGAGGGTTGAACTGTGGGAAGGAGCCTCTAAGATGTCACCCAGGGACCCACCTTCTGAAATCTGCTCCCTTGTGGAGCTCATTCCACACTGTGGTAGGGTTGGTTAACAGGATGTGACAAAAGTGATGGTAGGCCACTTCCAAGGTTAGATGAGAGACTTTCATCTTGATCACTTCCACACTCTGGTCACAAGGAAGTCAGCCCTTGGCATGAGTGACCCTTCAGATGCTCACGTGGTGGGGAACTGAGATCTTTAGCCAACATTATAAGGAACCCTCATGGACCTTGGAAGCTCCAGGCCCAGTCAAGCCTTTTAGATGGTAGAAATCCTTGGCTGCAGCCTCATGGAAGACACTGAATTAGAACCATCGAGTGAGCTGCTCCCAGATTCCTGACCCTCAGAAACTCTGGCTTGGATCATCAGTTAGAGCGTTGGTCTGCAGACTGAAGGGTCTCATGTTCAATTCTGGTCAAGGGCATGTACCAGGGTTACAGGTTCCATCTCTGACCCTGACTCGGGCTGTGGGGAGGCAACCAGTTGATGTGTCTCTCTCACATTGATGGTTTTTTTTCTCTCCTTTCCACTCTCTAAAAATCTGTGGGAAAAGATCCTTGGGTAAGGAATAACAAAATAAAATAAAATAAACTCTGTGAGGTAATAAATGTTTGTTGTCTTAAACTGCTTAGTGTTGGAGTAATGTGTTACACAACTTATTTAGTTGATAATATACCAACTAAAAGCTTAACAATCTTTTCTTTCAAGCTTGAACCTTGTTATACCTTTTTCAAGAAACATTCCCAGATTGTCACATCCCAGAACAATATTAACTACCTCCAAATTCCTACAGCATTTACTATTAAATTAATATTATATTAAACTATATTTCATATAATTAATATTTAATTATATATGTATATAACAGATATAATTTATGTAGAAATACAACAGTTGTATCATTGTCATTTACTGTTTTATGAGATTGCATATATTATTTTATTCAGTTACATTCAAACTTCACTCATTTGAGCTCCACTTTCACGATTCCTTTTCTTTTTGCAGCATCTGAATATAATCTGAACTATTATTTACTAAATTTTCTTTAAAACATAGTATTTTATTTATTTTTTTTTTATCCTCACCCGAGGACATTTTTCCATTTTTTGTTCAGATAGAGCGGGAGGGAGAGAGAGGAAGAGAGAGAGAGAGAAACATCGATGTGAAGGGACACATCCAGTGGCTGCCACCCACACGACCAACCAGGGCCGGGGACAAACTGCAACCGAGGTACGTGCCCTTAGTGGGAATCGAACCCTGGTCTCTCTGTACTGCAGGTCGACGCTCCAACCGCTGAGCCAAACCGGCCAGGGCTAAAACATAGTAATATAAAAGACAGTTTTATATCACTATCCTAGTGGAAAATACTACCTCTGACCACGAACAGAAAGTAACTATAAAACAATGTTTCTAAAAATATTATTCAATTCCAATTATATGCCTATATTATATAGACAGTAAACAGCATATAATTGGAAATGAATAATATTTTTATTATTAAATAAAATATTTTTGTTGTTGTTATAAAGTTGAAAAGGGGCAGGGTGGATGGGTTAGCAAGTGTCAGTGGAGAGTTAATGTTTCAGTATTTAACGGCCAAAATTCACATACACTTTACCATAATTTCCTGGGCGCCCCATGGTACTTTGTACAGATCTATGCCATTTCTAAAGTGGAGAGATGGGTTTTGACTTCCTGGATTGGGCATAGGGAGTGACCCATCTGCTCTTTATTATTTTTCTCTCTATGCCACTGACAGCTGCCTCAGGCACAGTTCCAGGGCAAGGCTTTTCAGTACCGGTTACCAAAGCCTGGCCTACTAGCTCATTTGTATTTTTATTTTTCTGCTCTACTTTGTAATTTTAAAAATATCTCCCTAGTAGTAGAGAAACAGTACATGCAAGAGTAGAGAAAACACAAAAGTAGATTTGACAGAGGACTATATGCAAAAGTGGGTGAAATAGCAGTTCCTATCACAAAGTCCTAAAGGCCCAGAATTCTCCAATTATGACTAGATGGCATAGGGAAGCCTGTAGGTCGTTTCAAACTACCCGTAGTGTCTAGATTGGCTATGATAAATATGGTAACTTGAATTTGGTTCTCCCTTCCATTTCTTTTTCGCTTGCCTTTCTAACTTAATATTCAAGAAACCAACACTGAGGGAAAGGGGAGGAGGATCAGCATCCACACACACCCCGCCCCCGAAAAGGGGATGAGAGCATTTGTATATTTTTAGTGTGTGCCAACTGCTACATTATCAAAGTACACAGTAAATTAAGAATAGAGCGCTCTAGCCAGGTTGACATTTTTTAATGTGATTGAATAATTTTGAATTTTCTTCGACTGCATTCAACTGGTAATGACCCTGACACTTCCTGACATAGATCCATGTAAAAATGTATCGAAAGTTGGCACAGTGTAGTGAAAGTAGTTGGTAAAAAGATCAAACATGGAAACGGGGCACTTTTTTCCAGCGAATGAACACATAATGGAAAACGTCGAGTCACAGTTCTCTTTAGAAGTTTGAATGGCTCTTAAAAGAGCCTTTGGAGTGAGGAGTTATGCCGATTCCTTGCAAGTCTACTTGGAGCTGGTGTACTTGGTGACGGCCTTGGTGCCCTCGGACACGGCGTGCTTGGCCAGCTCCCCGGGCAGCAGCAGGCGCACGGCCGTCTGGATCTCCCGGGACGTGATGGTCGAGCGCTTGTTGTAATGCGCCAGGCGCGACGCCTCGCCCGCGATGCGCTCGAAGATGTCGTTGACGAACGAGTTCATGATGCCCATGGCCTTGGACGAGATGCCGGTGTCGGGGTGCACCTGCTTCAGCACCTTGTACACGTACACCGAGTAGCTCTCCTTGCGGCTGCGCTTGCGCTTCTTGCCGTCCTTCTTCTGCGCCTTGGTCACCGCCTTCTTGGAGCCCTTCTTCGGGACGGGCGCGGACTTGGGATCGGGCATTGTCACAGATAATCAAAAAGTGGTTGGAAAAGGGAGGAAAAGAAAAAGAGAAGAGCACAACGCGTCCCTTTTATATAGAACCTCGCATGCAAATAAGGTGGTAAACTGAATTCCTGTGTCTTGATTGGTGGCTATTTAGAGCAACGTAAAAAAATTAACTGTCCAACCAGAAACCAAGAATTCCAAATTTACATTGTCATTGGTTGAGATGAAGCTGAAATCTTAACCAATGATACATCGGCTATTTCGCGCCCAAATAGACATAAAAAGAGTTCTCCCTGCACTTTCAGTATTAGAGGTAGAGAAAAGTTCCTGCGGTCAGCGTGTTTGTACGCCGGAAAGCTGGGTGGCGAAGCAAGACGCGCTCCTCCTGGTCGGGGCAGGCGGTCCCGTGTACCTGGCGGCGGTGCTGGACTACCTGACGACCGAGATCGTGGAGCTGGCCGGCGACGCGGCCTGCGATAACAAGACACGCATCATCCCGCGCTACCTGCAGCTGGCCATCCGCAACGAGGAGCTCAACAACCTGCTGGGCAAAGTCACCATCGCCCGCGCAAGGTTGTGTGCTGCCAAACCTGTTGGCACTAGTGACCAGAGGAGGTTAATAACGTTCAAACCTAGACTGCTAGTGTTGTCCCTGGCATGTCCCAGCATACGCAAAGAACTTTCCAAAGATTATAATGGGGAAGTTTTATAGTGTACTTCACAGCTGCTTCCAGAGACCTCTGGGTGGCTCTGAAAAGAGCCTTTGGGTTTTGTAGCCTTTAGAAAGGCGAGCTTCCTTCCTACTTCTTTTTTGGAGCCGACTTCTTGGCTTTCGCAGCTTTGGGCTTGGCTGGTTTGGGTTTGGTGGCTTTGGGCTTAGCTGCCTTAGGCTTCATAGCCTTGGGCTTGGCCGGACCTTTGGCCGTCTTCTTGGGCTTTGCGACAGCCTTGGCCTTCTTGGGGCTCTTTGCCACCTTCTTGACACTGGTGGACACGGGCTTCTTCGCCTTCTTAGGGGTCTTCTTCACGGCTTTCTTGGCACCGGTACTCTTCTTAGGCTTCTTGGGGGTGGACCCTGCTGGCTTCCTGGGCTTAGCCGCGCCCGCTTTCTTGGCTTTGGGCTTGGCTTCCCCGGACACCGCCTTCTTGTTCAGCTTAAAGGAGCCCGACGCACCGGTGCCCTTGGTCTGCACCAGGGTGCCCTTGCTCACCAGGCTTTTGAGACCCAGCTTGATTCGGCTGTTGTTCTTGTCCACATCGTAGCCCGCGGCCACCAGCGACTTCTTGAGCGCGGCTAGAGAAAGACCGTTGCGCTCCTTGGAAGCAGCCACAGCTTTAGTGATGAGCTCAGACACCGGAGGCCCAGATGCCTTACGTTTGGCCGCGCCCCCAGCCGCCGGCTTCTTAGTTGCCTTCTTCTTGGCAGGGGATTTCTCCACCGGCGCTGGCGCGGCCGTCTCTGTAGGAGCCGTTTCCGACATGGGGAATTGCTGCCAGAGCACAGTAAACTCAAAATCCAAAAACAAAGTTTGCAAAGATGGCCAGCGCCGGCCCGGGCTTATATAAGCCAAGGCTGCGCTGTGATTGGTGGGGCGTCCGATCCACTGCCCTCGGGCGGCCGCCTTTAGTGGTTGGACTTCCAAATGGTGTTTCTTAATCACAAAATTCTGATTAAATGCTGAAAACAATGGTACAGAATATGACGTTTGAATCTCTAAAGGAGGAAAACAGTCTCCCAGTTCACTTACTTGTTTGTGTTTTTATGAATCACGTTGAAAGATATTTTTTAAAATTGCTTCGGTTTTCCAAAGGAGTCCACCCAACTTAGGGTGTAGCGCTACTTAGTTGCATGTGGCAATAAATTTCTACTAAGTATCAAGTGAACGTTTTTTAAAAAAGCTTTGTCCCTAATTTCCGCCTCTGATTTTTACAAGAGGAAAGACACTAGGTTCCTTGGTTTGGGCAAAAACTTTGTTTCTAACTGTAGCAAGTAATACAGGCCCTTGGGCAGCTGCTAACCAGGTAGACCTCACTTTGAAATCTGGTTCTGCTTCCTGGGAGTTTCCACGCACCTATGTCTTTAGAAACAGGTATTTTTCAGCTTGGAAAAATTCAGTTGCAGCAGGGGGAATAGCAATTACTTTGGCTGCAGGATACAAAGGTCTAGAATCAAATTCAAACTTAAATTTATTTTTTATTGAGATATGTTCTCTCCTTTTTTCCTACTGAAATCTACTAAAATAAAGATGAAAAATGTTTATCCAGATAATGTTTTAGAAAAGAACTCTGGAACCTGTTAAAATAAAAAAAAACTATTCAAGGACTTCCAGGAGCTATCAAAAGCACAAATGGGACTTTTGTCCGTTTTCAAGGTGCTTTTCCCAATGCTCTCGATGTGGGTATTATTGTGTTGGGGCCAAGATACACTTGTAACTTAGAAAAATAATTGGCTACTGACTACAAGAAGGGTGGATTGGAAATTTCCTAAACTCAGAAGAATCCAGGAAAAACATTAACATCCACAGGAACTAGGACAATGACCATGGGGTTGGAATGGAGAGTGGAGAAGTTTGCTATTTACTTGGAAGGAATGTAGGGTGGGGAATGAACAGGATTTTATGCCTGACCTGGAGGCTGAGGGAGATGAAATGATGGTTGTGACCTCTAAAACAATCAACAGTATTTAGTGTTCCCTGTGAAACACTGCAGTGAGACAACCAGTGCACTTCCTCCACAGGCTCCTGGAGCTGAAACCGGAGCCAAGGATGGCCGTATCTGGACAGTGGCCTGTTTTTGTGAGGTCCTCAGGCCAAAAGTGGTATTTGGATTTTTAAAATTACATTAGAAAAAAAAAAATGTGACAGAGATCACATGTGGCCAGCAAAACCTTAAATATTTTTACTACCTGGCCCTTTGAATGTGTTTTGAATGCATCACATAGACATGGATGATGGTGTATTGCTACAAGCCTACCTCTTGCAGAACACTGAGAACTAAGAACTAAAGAAAAGGGGAGCTTATCAAGAAAATGTTCTAGCCAAATAATTTCCATGTTTTCAGTAAAAACCTTTTAGAAAAACTGGGTGTGGGGGTGGGGGTGGGAGTGGAAACCTCCATGCTTTAGGGGCAGGATCGAGGTACAACAATAGCAACTAATGTACACTGAGCATTTACAGCGTGCCACAAGGTAATCTAAGGATGCTCTACAGATTTTAATTCATTTCCCACATTTTACAACTATACAAGGTGAGGCTGAGAGAAAGGGTGGGTAACTGTCAAAGGCTATACAGCTAATAATTATTGGCTATGTGGTTTGAATGCAGACCACCTGGGTCTATTCGGATGGGAAAATCTCAGAAGGTGTGGAGGGAGAATAATCTCTGAAGTTCAGAACAGGCAACATCAAGTTGTCCCTACACCTGATGGCTACTTAAGGAGCTCCAACTGCTCTGTAGGAAGAGGCTTCTGGCCCCATCTATCAGAATTTTTGCTGAATCAATTTAGAGTACTTTCAGAAAGCTTTAAAAGAAGCCAATAGTTGGGATATAAGCCTCTGGAAGGGCAAATCCAAAAACAGGAAGTGAAGGTCTAGGTGGCTGACCTGACAAAATACTGGAGAAAAATTGCTTCCATATAACTAATACTTTCCTATTACTCTATAGCACACACACAAAAGTAAGCAGCAAAATGAGGCGTTGATGGTCATATATAAAGAGCACATGAGATTTTTTAAAAGCTGGAAATATTGGACAAAATAGAGAACCAAGTTTGGTATTTAAAAAAACAAACAGAATTATGATAGTAGAACCAAGAAATACCTTTTAAAATGATATCTGATTTAATCCCTAGTCTGTTTTTTAAAAAAAGTCATGAAACTTCACCGTGAACTGACAAGCAAACATTTTAAACCTTAATTTTTTTAAAATTGATTTTCAGAGCCATTGGGAACTCGCGTTAGCGGACAACCGACATGTCGAAGCCCGGAGGTCGTCTGCCCATCACTTAAGTCACATAAAGCCCACAGCAACGTTTTGTGAACATTACATTGAAACAAAAGCTAGCAAGATTTTAATACTCATAGGAATGTGTTACTTCCTGAGACAGGAAAGCAAGGGGCCGACGTACTTCTCCAAGGATTGGGAGTCTTCCTTCAACCATTTCTTGCAGCACAATAGTTAATTTGTAAAATGATTCTCATTGCTAAATGTATTTGTCCAGAAACAGCTCCTTATGGCGAAGAGTAGGAGCAGGAACCGGCCGCAGAGTCTAGATTGTACTTGGGTTTACAGGGTATAACTACATCGGGGAAACATGCTGTAACTTTTTCTTTTCTTTTTTTTTTTAATCCTCACCCGAGGATATTTTTCCACTTTTTGTACAGATAGAGTGGGAGGGAGAGAGAGAAACATCGACGTGAAGGGACACATCGAGTGGCTGCCACCCACACGACCAACTAGGGCCGGGGACAAACTGCAACCGAAGTACGTGCCCTTAGCGGGAACCGCAGGCCGACGCTCTAACCGCTGAGCCAAACCGGCCAGGGCCATGCTGTAACTTTTTCATGAGGATGCTATATATTCTCTAGAAGCAACAGCTCTTAATCGGTGAGAACTGAGGGGCTCTGAAAAGAGCCTTTTGGGTGAGGTATATTAATTGGAAAACATTCGGAAACTTAAGCCCTCTCCCCGCGGATGCGGCGCGCGAGCTGGATGTCCTTGGGCATGATGGTGACGCGCTTGGCGTGGATGGCGCACAGGTTGGTGTCCTCGAACAGCCCCACCAGGTAGGCCTCGCACGCCTCCTGCAGAGCCATGACGGCCGAGCTCTGGAAGCGCAGGTCGGTCTTGAAGTCCTGCGCGATCTCGCGCACCAGGCGCTGGAAGGGCAGCTTGCGGATCAGCAGCTCGGTGGACTTCTGGTAGCGGCGGATCTCGCGCAGGGCCACCGTGCCGGGCCGGTAGCGGTGCGGCTTCTTCACGCCGCCGGTGGCCGGCGCGCTCTTGCGGGCGGCTTTGGTGGCCAGCTGCTTGCGCGGCGCCTTCCCGCCCGTGGACTTGCGAGCAGTCTGCTTGGTGCGGGCCATGTCTAATCACGGGCTGAACAATTTAATGCTAATCAGCCAAGGAATCAGCCAGCCTAATATTTATATCGACTCTCGCGCTCTGATTCGTCGGTAACGGCTCCTCCCACTTCCTCCACGACTGATTTAGTTCTTGGCTTAATTCTCTCAGGAAAGGAAACATTTTCCCGCCTGTTCGGCCTCTGTGATAATGTACAAAAAAAGTATTTTACTGGCTTTTAAATAACCTCTTGGATGCATTAAAAATTCACAAGAAAATGATGTCTTGAGAATCTGAAAGTGTTTTTGCACTCTTTTAAATAGGTGTCATAATAGGATTCTTGACAATAGCTTAATGAACATGAAAGGGAAATGAGTGAAAAGGGGACATTGAAGTAGCTTCGACTTCTGGCCACTGTGCCGCGCTGGTTTTCTCAACCCTGAGCGTTTTTACCAGTCGCTCAGAGAGTTTGTTGGAACAAGAGTGGGCCAACTTTTTCTGTAAAAGGTCCCAGGAGATTGCCACAGGAGGAGGTGGTGGACTTGCTGGGCAAGGGGAGGGGGCAGGGTGGTACCAAAATACACTTATAGACTGGCTAGAATCACACAATTTAAGTTCCTAAACAAAACCCTGAAGTCCACGCTAACCTAATCCGAGGTAGGTGTTCTGAGAAATAAAGGATTTTTTAAAATGCCTGCAGCCTTTAACCAGATTTTGGGGGTGGCCCGAAGAAGGGGCTTTGCATCATGAAATGGCGGTTTAGAGAACGAGCACCCGAAGCCATAGAGGGCGCCTGAGACCGCGTCCCTGGCCTTGATTTAGGAGGACGCAGCGGGAGGCGGAGAGTCTGTGACCGCGGGAGAAAGCTCCTCCCTTCACAAATGAAAGACGAGACCCTCCAGGTCCCCAAAAAGTTAAGACGCCCGTTAGAATACTGACCCTTTAGTCTAGTCAACGGTAAATTACAAACTGCTTTAGCTTCGGGTTTAGGTAGACTTCCCGGCCTGATGGGAATAAGCCAGGCCCATTTAGTTCCTTTTCAGCCCAAGCTCACAGAGTTCGAGGGAGAGGTGGAATGACGACACTCAGCCCGACGCCTAGAGCAGAAGTGGAGGGGGGACCAAAGTAGCGGATCTTTCCTGATATTGCTCCGGAACCTTGCTGGCAGAGTTCCGTTTCCGTCACACTGGGTTGTGGACAGTGGCAGCATCCGGATTCTCTACTCAAGCCTCTCGTCGCGGAACCTTCCGAAGAAATGTAAACGAGCCCACCCACGGTGCTCCGCGTCACTGCAAACTGCCTCCTTGCCTGGACTATCATTTTGCAGCGGTAAAGGGGTAGGAAGATCGACGTCAGAAAGGCGGACACCCAACCTCCGGAGTTTGAAGTGCAACATTCAGAGTACAAGAATTGCACCACCATCGTTTTCACTCCAGCTTCTGTGTACCCAACCTAGCAGGAAAACCATGCACAGCTCTCCTCAGAGAAAGTGGGCGGCCCTGAAAAGGGCCTTTGGTTAAGACTGGGTTGCTGGAGATACTGACCTAGCCGCCGAAGCCGTAGAGGGTGCGGCCCTGGCGCTTGAGCGCGTAGACCACGTCCATGGCCGTGACCGTCTTGCGCTTGGCGTGCTCCGTGTAGGTGACGGCGTCCCGGATCACGTTCTCCAGGAACACCTTGAGCACCCCGCGGGTCTCCTCGTAGATGAGTCCGGAGATGCGCTTGACGCCGCCGCGCCGAGCCAGGCGCCGGATGGCGGGCTTGGTGATGCCCTGGATGTTGTCGCGCAGCACCTTGCGGTGGCGCTTGGCGCCCCCCTTTCCGAGGCCCTTCCCGCCTTTGCCGCGACCAGACATGCCTGCAGGTGAAGAAAACACAGTCTACAGACGCACGCAGGCAGTAGCTTATATACTTCTCTTGCGGACCTGTTTGGGAACTGTGCAGGCCAGTTTTCTCCAGCTATTACACCGCCCGGCCTTCTTCAGGCAAATGAAAAGGGCGGTGCTTCATTAAACCTCTGGGTTTAGAAAAAAACACAGCTAACATCATATTCAAGGATGAAAAGCGAAAAGCTTTTTCATTAATACCAGGAACAAGACAAAGATGTCCATTTTCAACATTTCTATTCAACATAGTATAAGTAATCCTACCCACCAAAGTCTGGCAAGAAAAAGAAATAAAAGGCATCCAAGTTGGAAAGTTAGAAGCAAAACTTACTGTTTGTACATGACGCGATGCTATGTAAAAAGACCCCTAATGATCCCACTCAAACAGTATTAGAACTAATAAATGAATTCAGCAAAGTAGCAGAATACAATATTAGTATTCAGAAATCAATTGCGTTTTTATACACCAATAACACTATCAGAAAGAAATGAAAACCACAATGAGATGTCACCTCGCCCCTGCTAGAATGGCTATCATCAATAAATCACCAGACAGCAAATGTGGAGAAAAGGGATCCCTTGCGCACTGTTGGTGGGGATGTAAATTGGTGCAGCCACAATAGAAAAAGGTATGGAGGTTCCTCAAAAAAAAAGTTAAATAGAACTACCATATGACCCAAGCAATCCCACTTCTCAGCATTAATAGGAAGAAATTCAAAACAATAATTCAAAAAGACATATGCATCCTTTTATGTTCATTGTTGCATTATTTACAATAGCTAAGATATTGAAGCAACATATTTGTCCATCAACAGATGAGTGGATAAAGATGATATACATAAAATTATTACCCATAAAAAAAGAATGCAAGTTTGCCATTTGCAACAACATGGATGGACCTAGAATGTATTATGCTCAGTGAAATAAGTCAGATAAAGAAAGACAAATACATATGGTTTTACTTATTTGTGTAATTTTTTTAATTGAACAAACAAAGCAGAAGCAAACACCTAGATACAGAGAAAAACTGATAGTCACAAGAGGGGAGGGGTTTTGAGGATTGGAGAAAAAGCTAAAGGGATTAGGAAGTACAAATTGCCAGTTACAAAAATAGTCACTGGGCCCAGTCATTGTGGCTCAGTGGCTTGAGTGTGGTCCCATGGACTGAGAGGTCCCAGTTCAATTCTGGGTCTGGGCACATGCTAGGGTTGCAGCCTTGATCCCCAGTAGGGGTTGTGCAGGAGGCAGCCGATTGATGTTTCTCTCTCATACCAATATTTCTATCTCTCTCTCCCTTCCTCTGTCTCTAGAAATTCAATAAAAACTTATTTTTTAATAAAAGTGACTGGATGTAAAGTACAGCTTAGGGAATATGGTCAATGACATTGTAATAACTATGTATGGTGTCATATGGATACTAAATTAATTGGGGTGATTACTTACTAAGGTATATAAATGCCTGATCACTATGCTGTACACCTGAAACCAACATAATATTGTCAACTGTAATTGAAAAATAAAATTGTAAAGCCTAATTTAAAATTCCTCAGTCCAAATGCTGCTTCTGCAGTGATCTGTGCTTGTCTACCCCTGGGAGACCATTCTTTTGTCTGGGTCAGACTTTGTTGTCTGTTTCTTCCGGTCACCTCTTAGCGTCCACTGTAATAGTGACTCTGATTGCTGGATTCAAGTGGCTCATTTCAAGAGCTGTGATTGCAGTCATCTGGCTTACTTGTGAAGCCTTGTATGCAGAGCACTTTCTGTATAATCTTAACTGAATCAGCCTGAGAAGTGGCTGACTACTGTTAACACCCGATTATGGAGGTCAGTGGGACTCCTCACTTCTCAGCTTTGCTTCTCTACAATGTCCTCACCTGCTATTCATTTATCCCTTGTTGCCATAGAGAGAGGGGGATAACTCATATTTTTTTTCATCTGGGTTAGAAACACTTTAGTTTTCTAAAGTTGTTTGAGGAAGGTCAGCTTTTATGCAGTTTCCTTGGAGAGTTGAGCAGCCATCCCCTGGGGGGTGCGGGTTAGAAACATTCCCTAAGGATAAGAGATGGCTTTCTCTCAACCAGGAAGCAGGCTCTTACCAGACACTGAATCAGACAGGGCCTTCTAGAACTGTGAGAAATAAATTTCTGTTGTTCCAGCTACCCAGTCTGGAATACTGGTACAGGAGCATGAATGGACTGAGCACTGGTGTTCTGCAAGCCACGTGTTAAAAGCACTCAGATGGAGTGTCTTTGGTTTTGGTGTTTATTCCAGGCTATTTGGAAGTAAAGCAAGAAAACTATGGGAGGTCATGGCACAGGTGTCCAGTAGCAAGGTTGACTGAGCCTTGGGTTCAGCCCTTGTTTTTGCCATTTATTTGTTTCTTGACCTTAGAAGATAATATTTTATTTAGTCATTGCCTTAAATTATCTCAACCTTTTTGCTACTACAAATAACATTCTCATGAATATTACTGATATATCCTGCTATGGTTCTATAGGAGAATGTCCTTAGGGCACAGGCCTGGGCACATCCAGTTTTACTAAATGAGACAGTTCACCAAAATGTCTGTGTAAAACCATCAGTAAACCACCACATAAAAGTAAATTTCTCCACCTCTCATATGACTCTTGGGAAACCCACTTCTGTTTTTGATAATCTGCAGGGTGTTATGTAGTATTTCATTGTTGTTTTAATTTGCATTATCTGATTATAAGTTTAAAAATTCTTCATGCAATTGCTAGCCACTCAGCTGCCTCCATTAAAAAACAGACTTTTCCCTTCAAGGTGAACAATAAACTACCACACTCAAAGCATAGTTTCTAACACAGAACTCATTCCTAGAAACCCTGTTTTAGCCCCTTAGGCAAATGAAAAACAGAATGAACCTAATTCTACTTTGTTTCCCTACTGCCACTGGAGGCTGAATCCCATCTCCTTCCCTTCCAAGGTTTGTTTTAAAAAACCTGCATGGGATTTATCCCCCAATACTTGAGGACCTTTGTAAAAGACATATTTCTAGACCTAGAGGGGTAAAAAATGTCAAGAGCCTAGGAGCTACTGTCAGTTTCACATGCAGGACGTGAAAATACTTTAAAAATTGTAAAACTTTGTAAAAATTGCCAGATTTGTGAATACCCGTAGTACAGAAGGGAGGTGCCAGTATCTGCTCAGAATCCCATGTCACGGGGTGAGCACCGTTCCTTTCCTTCTCTTAAGCTCTCTACACGAGGATTACTCAAAGGTCCAAGTAGTGACATTGTTGCCTTCTAAACTGCTGTTAAGAGACTTAGTTTCCCCAAACAGTTAACATAAAGGAAACTGCTTTGGAGCCATGCCAATTTTTACATCTACTTTGCTTGAAAATTAGATATAGATCTATAAGTTTTGGAGTGACCCTCGTCCCTGCCCCCCGCCCCAGTATCCCACTTTTTCAATCCTGCACCAAGCCTGCGTTTTTAACACTCAACCCAGTAGTGTTTACAGCCACTGCCAGTGAAGATGAAAGTGGCTCTAAAAAGAGCCTTTGGGTCCAAGAATACAACTCGCTAATAAGCTCACGCCCTCTCCCCGCGAATGCGGCGCGCGAGCTGGATGTCCTTGGGCATGATGGTGACGCGCTTGGCGTGGATGGCGCACAGGTTGGTGTCCTCGAACAGCCCCACCAGGTAGGCCTCGCACGCCTCCTGCAGAGCCATGACGGCCGAGCTCTGGAAGCGCAGGTCGGTCTTGAAGTCCTGCGCGATCTCGCGCACCAGGCGCTGGAAGGGCAGCTTGCGGATCAGCAGCTCGGTGGACTTCTGGTAGCGGCGGATCTCGCGCAGGGCCACCGTGCCGGGCCGGTAGCGGTGCGGCTTCTTCACGCCGCCGGTGGCCGGCGCGCTCTTGCGGGCGGCTTTGGTGGCCAGCTGCTTGCGCGGCGCCTTCCCGCCCGTGGACTTGCGAGCAGTCTGCTTGGTTCGGGCCATTTCAAATGTACCAAAGCACTGAACTGGTGGGAAAGGGGGAGTATGAGCCCTCAACCAGTATTTATAAGGCAAGTCCTGTTCTGAATGGGCCAGGCATCTGCCCGTCAAGGCTCGCAGTGCAGTTACTGGGAGCCGCGTCAACTTTCTGATCGCGGTAGCCTCCTGGATATTTGGACCGGAAATTACCTTTTTCTCCCACCCACCCTTTCAACTGCGGCTGTTTTCTACGCTTTCTTGCCTCTACCGTTTTTATGCCTTTTGTTTACAACGTTCTTTGGCTTTTTCCTGTAGAATTTAATGTAAATATTGCAATGATATATCTTGTTTACTGAATAAAACCTTTAAATTTTGAACCTTGAAAATGGCTTTCCTTTGAGCTTTTGAAAAGGCGCGAGCTAGATGATCAACTGATTTTTTGTGTGTGTGTGTGTCTCATTCAAGTTTGGGAGGGCCAACTTCATGTCAATTTCTCCATTTCTCAACTTAAACTTCAAGATTTAAAAATGTTTTTATAGGATTTTTCCAAATATATAAATTTCACATTTGATATTATAGCTACATTAACATTTACTTTTTACTAACATTTTCATATAAATCAGCCCACTACGTTTTACAATTTCTACTGAAATTTGTGTAAAATGGGATTAAGGGAAAAAACCCTCAAATGTCTAAGTGGCATAAAGATGGCTGTGTGCCTTTACACGTCACGCTGGACCCTGTGTTGAGCTCTGCCAAAAGGACGGGACTCCGGGGCACGTCGTATTATTTTCCTTTAAAACTGACTAGAAAGCAGAATTGGAGTTGCATCCCATTAGGATGCAAAACTCTTGAACAGACTTTTATTGTTCTGTGGGTCACTAACTCTATTTGCACTTAAAAATTCACCTTTTTTTAAAATCCTCACCCGAGGACATTTTTCCATATTTTGTTCAGATAGAGTGGGAGGGAGAGAAACATCGACGTGAAAGGGACACAGCGAGTGGCTGCCACCCTCACGACCAACCAGGGCCGGGGACAAACTGCAACCGAGGTACGTGCCCTTAGCGGGAACCGAACCCGGCCGACGCTCTAACCGCTGAGCGAAACCGGCCAGAGCTAAAAACTTGCCTATGATGTTTTGTTGTCTCGGTTTCTTCATGGTGCAGCCCCGAGTGCCTGCAGCATTCATCCCATTGATTACTTGGTGCTGAGTATCTATCCCTTTTACTAGGCTGATGCTAAATTGTTTTCATCGGAGTTACCTTCTAGTTTCTAGAAATTTTTACACACCGACATCTCTTGGTAGGTTGAAGGAATTGAAAATCATTTTCAAGTTGCTGCTACAACACAGAAAATGCAAGCTCTTATTATAGAAAACGTAGGTGGCTCTGAAAAGAGCCTTTGGTTGAGCTTGAGAAAGACTCTAACGGTCCAGCTCATTTGCCCTTGGCCTTGTGGTGGCTCTCGGTCTTCTTGGGCAGCAGCACGGCCTGGATGTTGGGCAGCACGCCGCCCTGCGCGATGGTGACTTTGCCCAGCAGCTTGTTGAGCTCCTCGTCGTTGCGGATGGCCAGCTGCAGGTGGCGCGGGATGATGCGCGTCTTCTTGTTGTCGCGGGCCGCGTTGCCCGCCAGCTCCAGGATCTCGGCCGTCAGGTACTCCAGCACCGCCGCCAGGTACACGGGCGCGCCGGCCCCCACCCGCTCAGCGTAGTTGCCCTTGCGGAGCAGGCGGTGCACGCGGCCCACGGGGAACTGCAGCCCGGCCCGCGAGGAGCGCGTCTTGGCCTTGGCGCGCGCCTTCCCGCCCTGCTTTCCGCGTCCGGACATGACGGATAGGAAACCTTCGCTGTGACTTGGGTCTGAGTTAAGTCACCCTGAGCTACCCTCTTTATAGTCGTTCCTGGGCGCGAAAGTGAATCTGTGCCATTGGCGAAAAGTTACAGCCCTTTCACTTGAACCAATGGGATTCTGGCTCTGAAATACCCTTGTTTTGACTGGACAACACTCATGTGACGTTTCCAGGAGTCACCACCAGTCAGACACGACTTTACTCACCGCCTCCTTTGAGAGTCTGTGAACCGAGAGAGCACTCACGGTCGCGCGCTCGTTCCTCCTGTTCTAGCTGAACATCCGCTGTTCCTCCCGACCATGCCCGAGCCCGCCAAGTCCGCGCCCGCCCCGAAGAAGGGCTCCAAGAAGGCGGTGACCAAGGCGCAGAAGAAGGACGGCAAGAAGCGCAAGCGCAGCCGCAAGGAGAGCTACTCGGTGTACGTGTACAAGGTGCTGAAGCAGGTGCACCCCGACACCGGCATCTCGTCCAAGGCCATGGGCATCATGAACTCGTTCGTCAACGACATCTTCGAGCGCATCGCGGGCGAGGCGTCGCGCCTGGCGCATTACAACAAGCGCTCGACCATCACGTCCCGGGAGATCCAGACGGCCGTGCGCCTGCTGCTGCCCGGGGAGCTGGCCAAGCACGCCGTGTCCGAGGGCACCAAGGCCGTCACCAAGTACACCAGCTCCAAGTAGACCAGCAAGTAAGCAGCTTGACCCTTAACCCCAAAGGCTCTTTACAGAGCCACTGGCCTACCAAAAAAAGAGCTGATGTGCTTTGCCTTTCCGTTGTGTGTGTGCATGATGGAGGGCGGGGTGTCTTAGGAGAACATCTTAAAAAGTAACATTGAAGGTAAACTTGGTATTTAGCTAACATCTGTCCAGACAATGGAAAGTTTGAATTTTATAAAGAATTTCTGGTGTCAAAACTTAGCATCTAACTGCTGCTTTTCTCACCTCTTGACCTGGGTAGTGGCAATATCTCAAAGTCGAAAGAAGGCAACAGTTCGCCACGGAAATCCCAAGTCACTGGACTGTAGTTTTCCTAACGGACTTTTCACTTTAGGTTCCAGCCCACTTCTCAGTTAGGTCCACACAGATAAACCCAGTCAAGAAAACGAGGCCTTTTGGCCACCTTTGCCTCCATCAGAGCTGATGTTGAGTGCAGGGTAAAAGCAAGGGGGGAAAATCCAAAGCTGAACTTAAAAAACAAATCAACAAACAAACAAAAAACTGGCTACTGGCTAGCCTTTTATTAGAATTATTTGGCCCTAATGTGAAACTAGCGGAACGTGGAGGGAAAGCCTCTCAGGTCTCATCCTACTCCCTCCGGGATGAAACCGGTGGAACAGGGGGTGCACCACAGGCCTGCCTTTTGCACTGAGGCCCTCCTGGGAGAAGCTGAGGAAGCTGCGCTGGGCAGTCGAGGGTATGTGTTGGGGGTGGGGTGAGAGGGAAGAAAAGGTGCTGTGCCCTCCTAAACGAACGTCTTTTAAGCAAGAAAGGGGTTAATCAGAATTTGAGTCTCAACTTGTTCCTTGACAATCCGCAGGTTGATTAAGTTCGTAGTCAAAGTTGGATGAGGAAGGATGGGCTTCTGTCCTCAGTGACACGACTTGCTACGTGGTGGTAGATGTAGTTGACCACTGAGTAATGACCTGTAGGTACTGTTAGCAAACACTCCGTGTACAATATGGCATGTCACCGTGCATTTCCCTGATGATTAGTGATGTGTCCTCTTCTGATGATGTCTTCAGGTCCTATTCATTTTTTAATTAATTTTTTTGGTGTGTTGTGCTTATATTTTGGATATTAACCCCTTATTGAATGTATCTTTTGCAAATATATTCTTCTCTTCAGTAGGTTGTCATTTTGTTGATGGCTTCCTTAGTTGTGCAAAGCCTCTTCAGTTTGATGTGGTCCCGTTTGTTTATTTATTTTTTCCCTAGGAGACATATCCAAAAATACATATTGCTAAGACCTATGTCAAAGAGTTTGCGGCCTATGTTTTCTTCTAGGAGTTTTATGATTTCAGGTCTTCTGCAGCCAGGCAATCTAACTGGTCTGTAGGATCCTGTGCTGGCCTTTTCCACAGCAATGGTTTCTTGTGTAGTAGGGACAAGCAGTTATTGCCCTTCTGGTGACATCAGATGACCTCCTAAGTGAGAAAGACCTCCACCAGACAGAGACTGTTCCTACCGGCAACATGTGCTACCATGACACTGTGGGGGGAAACTAACAGTCACAACAGGTCAGAGGGAAGAGGAGTTTGATCAAAGTTAAACTTCACAGATGGGGGAGGAGCTTTGTTACAATGAAATACCACTGTGGGAAGGAAGCCCAGCAAGGGTAGATTTGTAGGCATAATGGAGACTAGGGACCTGCATAATCTAGAAGCCAAAACAAAAGGATGCCTGTCTTCTTCTCCTTCATGCACAATTCCCCCACTTCACTTTTATCTGCCATAAACACACCTGTGGTCTTGAGTTCTAGAAAATGAACAGAATGAAGGGAAGAAGTCAATTATTTCTGGAATCAGTGACGCTGCTGTTGGAGTAAGTGTGGGTGGCTGAGGAATCCTCAGTTATGGCTGGAAAGTCCTCTTCCCTGAGTTCACTCTTTCTGCTTTGTTCTAGGTTCAGTTCTCTCTTCTGATATGATATCCCTGTGGCTTGGCTGAGATTTTAAAACTCCAACAGCTCCAAAACACTTGGAATTGTGAAGGCAGATGGAGCCTGAAAAAATAACAATACTGATAATTCCGGTGAGGATAATCTCTAATTTTCAAAAACTTTAACGGGGCCCAGGCCCTAACGTGTGGGTGATCACCCTGTAACACGCTGTCTGAGCTGTCTTCCTGGGCATGTGATTTGGGCAGTTGCACAGGGTCCTACACTCAAAGGAGCCTCATATTTGTTTAATGCTCTGCTGTCCTTATCTTGAAATTATTAATAATTTTTTAACAAGAAACTCTACACTTTCATTTAGCACTGAACCTCACAAATTCTGTAACTGGTCCTCACATTGCCTTCCATGTTCTATTGCCAGAAAAAGGAAACAATCATTTCCCATACCCTGTATTTTACCCCTTGTTCAAGGTATGTTCGGTGCAGACAGATTGCTTCTCAGTTCCACTTTCGGGGTTTCTATTGTAAAACTAAAGTGCAGGAATAAGTCAAGAAAGAACTTTTAAAAAATATAGGTCACTGGACA